TGATGTTAAAAGCGGATAAAGGAAACCCCCGGGTTTAACTTAGATGTCACCAGGGCACTAAAAGCGTACACCTCGCTTGCTCACCCCCCTTTGAGGGGGCCAGCTTTTCCCGTGAGCGCAGACTATGGGATGAAGACGTCATTCCCTTTTGCACCCCTGGAACAAATGCGTTAACAATGGCGGGTCAGGGTGCGGTAAAAACGGGCGCACAATCTCAACCCACATGACCCCCGGGGGGGGCGGGACGGGAAAAGAGGAGGGGGTTAAGGAGGACTTTGGTCTCAGGAATTATTGAGTGGAAATGTGTTTTCCCTCAGCGTCACAGGGGAGTGAGTAGCATGACATCTGTAAGAGAGGAGAGAAGGAGACAGGATGACCCAGACCCACCGGTGGCAGTATGCTTGTGGAGATGGAGGCAATAAGGGAGATTCCCGCTCGCAATCCTTGGCACAAAATGGCCCATAGCAAATTGCACGGTTGCTTTTGCGTAGCGTGACATGCCGAATAATAACCATCAGACAGAGCGATTACTTTTGGCTGTCCACCTTGTTGGAAACCCGTTCGCTAACCGTTCAAAAAATGTGTGCCTTTTTTTCCCACACCTGCTGATAGGGAGGTCCAAAAATAACGTACTATATAAAACCACCATACTAGTCAGCTGGATCTCTGCCTGTCCTGCGCCAGACTTCCATATCCCTCAGACACTGTGGCCCCCTGGTGCGCTCCGCGTTCAGCTGCAAATGGCTGAAAAAGCAGGGGAGGGGTTGGGTGGTAGGAGCAAGTGGCAGCTCCACCAGCATCGGCTGGCCCGTCAGTCTGCAGTCGATGATGAGTAAGCTTTTGCTTCACCCCCGCAGTGAGGAAACTATTAACCAGCCCGCAGCAAGCAGCAGCAGCAGCAATCAGGTGGACCTGGAGCATGACCTCAAACAACAGTGTGCTTAGGCCTACTTGGACAGCACCCTGCCAACCGAGGTTAGACAATCCCCTTGACACTGGGCAACGAATCTTGACCTTTGAGGCCCCAACTAGCTGAGTTTGCCCTTGAAAGCATGTCATGCCCGGGCCAGTAGCGTGGCAATCGGAGCGCGTGTTTAGTGCGGCAGGAGGTATTTGCAACTCCGCGGTGAGGACACGACTGTCCACCCAAAGTGTGGAGAGACTCACGTTTGTGAAAATGAATCAGGCGTGGATTAGTCTGGATTTCAATACCACCAGTTCCTGACACAACTGACTAAATCCGCCATGAATCATGCCCCAAACATGTGCCACTTTCAGGTCACCTCACACTGCTGGTGTGTTCCATTTTTTGTCCATAGGGTGCTGGCAGATTACGGACCTCCCATAGCTGCTGCCATGGCCCCCTAATCTGCCATGTGCCCCTATACCGCCTCCTCATGCTCATGCTGCCAAGTCCAGAGTCTCTCATGGGTCCCTGTACTGGCCTCCCATTGCTGCGCTGTCTCCATCGCCACACTCTGCCATGTGCCACTTTCAGGTCTCCTCACACTGCTTGTGTGTTCCATTTTTTGTCATAGGGTGCTGCAGATTACGGGCCTCCCATACTGCTGCCAGGCCCCTAATCTGCCATGGGCCCCTATAAGACTGACTTGCCTAATTCCTCATCGCTGCTGCCAGGTCCAGAGTCTCCTCATGTGTCCCTGTACGTGCCTCCATTGCTGCTGTCCTCTTCCATCGCCACAACCTCTGCCATGTGCCACTTTCAGGTCTCCTCACACTGCTGGTGGGTTTCCATTTTTTTGTCATAAGGGTGCTGGCAGATTTACGGATGCCTCCCATAGCTGCTGCCCTAGGCCCCTAATCTGCCATGGGCCCCCGTACCGACTCCTCATATGCTGCTGCAGGCCCGTAATCTGTCATGGGCCCCTGTTTGTCCGCTTGTTGGCAAATTCATCCGCTCGTACAGATGCTCCTTCTCCTGCTACTCTCTACTCATTCTCAACGATTCCGTCTGCATCTTTCTTGGAATCCGTTTCCAATAGACAACAGTTTTGCGAGCACGCACCCGACGGTGCAGAAAGCTGAACGTCCTCCTGTCCAAGTTGCTGCTAGCCAGCTCGTAATACTGTCATGCGCCCCCTGTAATCCCGCCTCCTCATGCTGCTGCCTAGGTATCCAGAGTGGTCATGGCCCCCGTAACCGACTCCTCATGCTGCTGCCAGGCCCGTAATCTGTCATGGGCCCCTGTACCGTGCCTCCCCATGCTGCTGCTTGCCAGGTCCCAAGTGTGTCATGGTCCCCTGTACGGCCTCCCATTGCTGCTGCCAGGCCCGTAATCTGCCATGGGCCCCCGTACCGACTCCTCATGCTGCTGCCCAGGCCCGTAAGTCTGTCATGGGCCCCTGTACCCGCCTCCTCATGCGCTGCTGCCAGGTCCCAGAGTGTGTCATGGGGCGCCCTGTACGGCCTCCATTGCTGCTGTCTCTATCGCCACACTCACACATGTGCCACTTTCAGGTCTCCTCACACTGCTGGTGGGTTTCCATTTTTGTCATAAGGGTGCTGTATGTGGCCTCCCATTAGCTGCTGCCTCCCACCGCCACAACTGTGGCTCCACACTCTGGTTTTGGCCCCGTGAATGGCCAAATGAGTGAAGTGTGCGGTGATTCTAAGATCGACGGCACTCATCTGCATGTCATACTACTGACTGACAGTATTATTTTCTCTTCCCCCAGCAGACTCCAAGGGCATTTAAATTAAAGTACAGTGTTCTGCACTAATTTTAAGTCTCTCTGAAGCCTAGAAACACCCTTTTTTAAGTTAAATTCACAGCGAATATATTCGACTCGAATCGAAATTTTTCCACGAATTCGCCGAATCAGTCGAATCGAATTTTTGAATACTTCGCTCATCTCTACTTGCAAGCATAGTCAAAGATGAACAATAGTTCTTTGAAGATATAGGGGTTGATTTACTAAAGGCAAATACTGTTCACTTTATAAGGTAAGGTGCCAGCTTCCCCAGAGCCTAATGAATGAGGGAACGCTCTGCTGACTTCCATCATCCAATCATGTGCAAGAAAAAAAATGCTGTTTTTTTTTTCTAAAGTTCCCTTGCATGCAATTGGTATTCTTAGCAAAGTGAATTTTCACCATGTTTACTAAGCTCTGGAGAAGAAGCCTTGCATAGTGCAATTTCCCTTTCAAACTAAACAGCCTATTTGCGTTTAGTAAACCAACCCCATGGACTCCGTGCACTCCCTGCAAAAATAAAGAGCATTCATTGGGGACACCTACTATTACTCAAGACGGCAGGTGGCTCTGTAGAGATGTTGGAGGAAGAGGTCCTGGCTAGGAGAGGTACTTTGGAGAGAGGGGGGAGGTATGTTGATAGCATTTTTCTACACTTTTCACCTTTTTCTTTCTGATGTTTTCAGTCTCTAACTTCTACTACTGAAGGTGTTATGGAAGGCAGGTCAAAACTCTCAGGTGTTTTTCTTTTAAATAATGTTGAGAAGAAGAATATAGTATGGTGTGGATGCCTCTAAACTAACCTGAGTTACTCAAAGTGGAAGTAAACTGCATCTGAGCACCACAAACTGAAAATGTTTTTCAATTCATTTTTACTATTTAAACCAAAAAAAAAACAATGTTTTTCACATCCTAGCAACAAGGCAGGATGTTGGGTAGTTAGAGGGGAGTTCTTCCAGAGGAGTCCAAACAGCCTACAGGTTTTACATTGACATTAAAGGGGAACTACTCTGCATCTGAGCATAACAAAGCAAAAATACTATTTAATTTATTTCTAATGTTCAAAGCAAACTCAGTCACCCATCCATGTCTCCATGCTTTATTTTACTGAGAAATTACTTTGAAAAACACCACCTAGCCATTTCTGGCCATGGTCATCTTGAGTATAGGTAGATGATTCATTTACTTCCTGGAATCCATCTGCCCTTAGGCCAAGTGAGGAATGTCATACGTCAAAGAAGGAAAAAATGCCATCCAAATTGATACGATAACTGTATCTTAATAATATCTCCAACTCACTTATGTAAAAGTGTGGATTATGAACCTGAAAATTCTGGAAAACAAAAATTGCAGTTGGCTAGTGCAGAGCCGCCTGGAAAGTGGTTAATTAAATCCTATGCGGAGTAATGTATTACTACAAAAAATAAATGCAATATTTTGTTTATTTGATCACTTAGATCATGAAAAAGGTTGACATTGACAGGGTGAACATGTTGCAATCATATTTGAACTAGAAGCTAATTCTGGCAACATTTTTCAGGTCCTGGACCTTTCCCTATGACAGTTAGCAAGGATGCTATGAATAGCCATACCGTAGTACCCATAACCTGCATGATCCAAACTTTGTAATCCTGTCCTGTTTTTTCTTTCATATACTTTTTTTATTTATGAAATTAAACATATATGATGTTAGATTGAGTTCCAGCCCTTATTTCCTTGCATTATCTAAAAAAAAAGAATTAGCCGAGTATAGACAAAAACAAGTCAACACAACAAAGAATCATAATCAACTCTTGTTGTAAGAACAGGGGTGTATTTAGGTTTTGTGCTGCCCTAGGCTGCCATTGACCAACAACACCCCAGCCCCACTCTAGAGAGCCTTCCACTATCACTGCCCCCCCATACAGCTCTGGATGTCTCCGATAACAAGAGTCAGGCTCTGCATACACCATCAAGAAGACCGCAGCCTCTCTAAGATTTTGCATAGCATGTCATAATAATTATATATACCTTATGGTACAATTTTTTGATATACCTCCTACTGGTAGTGTAACCAATGTGGTCATGCTGCAAATGCTTTAGACAAGGGTTTTTGTCATTGTTTTTGCAGCATATTCATATCTAGACCAGTCTTGGTGTGGTTTTATGTGGTTTTAGGTCTGTGAGTATTATCTCATACTGAGGTGATGGTGAAACTGGGGTAATTAACCTATTGTCTACTAATAATGTTTAATAAAGAATAATTTTTGGAAATTTTTCTGAGTATCGCATTCTGTCCAAAATGTAGCCGCTTTCCTGTGAATCTCTTTTCACAACTCCTTTTTTCTCTAAGATCCCACCTGGTACCCATGCTGCGTGTGTCCCTTCTGCCATCCTTTCTTTTGGGGGATGGCGCTGCCCCCCCTGAAAATTGCTGCTGCCCCCCTGAAAAATGCCGCCCTAGGCAAATGCCTTGTTTGCCTTGTGATAAATACACCCCTGTGATAAAGTGAGCATCTTTGGCACTAGCCAGAGAAGGCTGATTCAGACCAGAAGCAGATGGAAAGTGGGGAAGGTAAAGGAGGACGGTGAGGCACTGAAGGGGGCTGGGAAAGAAATAGGACCAAGGTGGAAGATTACACACAGCTCTCTCTGCTCTATGCTCTGTAGTATGTGACATATGTTTCCCACACCCTGAAAATGCTGTGTAAAAGCTGTACTTTGAATTGCTGTAGAGAAGTGAGGATTGCAGGCTGTAGAGAAGAGAATACCGCAGATAAACAAGTACAACTTATGTAGAAGGATTTGTTTAATCTCTGTGTATCACCTGAGGCTAGTCGCTTCAATGACTTAAAATGGGAGTAAATTCCCCTTTTTGGTTTGTACCTACAGATAAGCCTATAATAGGGCTAACCTCTGTCACAGAGTCACAGAAGCAAAAAATAAACTATTATTTTAATCTATTTGTGGAAGAAGGAAGTGGGAGGAGCCAGGTGCAAATACATTGCTTTATTGGGTGTAGGTCCTGCTTTTAAACTCCTGGCAGCCATGTGTCAACGCTATCAGCCATCCAGAAAAGGGTCCCGTGCTCACTTTGCCAGTTTCAAGTGCATAAGAGTACTCATGGTCAACAAAGCTGAAAAAAAAAAACGAATCGATACTAGCAGAAATGAAAAAAAAGGTAGGAGACCTCAAGTCACATGGTTTACAGACCACAGAGATAAACTGCTGGTGATAATCTGTATATAGTTCATTCGTAAATGAGATTTAACCACCTTCCGCCCGCCCTATATTACAATGACGGGCGCAAGGTGGTTCTCTCGTTCTGATAGGACGTCATATGACGTCCTACCATTCTCACTGCGCATGCGCGGCTCAGGGAGCGTGCAGCGCGGCGATCGCCGGTGCGCTGTGTCCCTCGGACACAGCGGATCACGGAAAGAGCCGATGATGTCGGCTCAGTCATGTGATCAGCTGTGTCCAATCACAGCTGATCACATGTAAACACGGAAATGCCGCTTATCGGCATTTCTCTCCTCTCGAGCTGTCACGCTGACAGCTCAAGAGGAGAGGAGAGACGGTAATCGGCTTTCCGTGGAGGGGACATGTACACTGATCATCAGGGCACTGTTGATCAGTGTGCCCTGATGATCAGTGCAGCCCCAGAAGTGCCACCTGTCAGTGCTCATCAGTGCCACATGCCAGTGCCCATCAGTGCCACGTGCCAGTGCCCATCAGTGCCACATCAATGCCACATATCAGTGCATACCAGTGCACATCAATGCCACATATCAGTGCCCATCTGAGCTGCCTTTCAATGTCACCCATCAGTGCCAATAAGTGTCACCTATCAGTGCTGCCAATCACTGCCAGTCAGTGTTGCCTATCAGTGCCGCCTATCAGTGACAGTCAGTGCCGCCTATCAGTGCCAGTCAGTGTCGCCTATCAGTGCCAGTCAGTGCCACCTAACAGTGCCAGTCAGTGCCGCCTATCAGTGCCAGTCAGTGCCGCCTATCAGTGCCAGTCAGTGCTGCTTATCAGTGCCGCCTATCAGTGCCGCCTATCAGTGTCATGTATCAGTGCTGCCTTTCAGTGCCCATCAGTGATGCCTGTCAATGCCCATCAGTGCAACCTACCAGTGCCTCCTCATCAGTGCCCATCAGTGCCACCTATCAGTATCCATCAGTGCAGCCTATCAGTGCCCATCACTGCAGCCTCATTAGCGCACATCAGTAAAGGAGAAAAATCACTTATTTACAAAATTGTATAACAAAAACTAAGAAAAAACTTTTTTGTTCAGTGGTTTTTGGTTTGGTTAAGAAAAAATAAAAATCCCAGAGGTGATTAAATACCACCAAAAGAAAGCTCTATCTGTCTCAAAAAAATTATAAAAATGTCATATGGGTACAGTATTGCATGACCGCGCAATTGTCATTCAAAGTGTGACAGCGCTGAAAGCTGGAAATTGGCCTGGACAGGAAGGGGGTATAAGTGCCCTGTAGGCTAGCGATTAATATTGATTGACAAATAGCATTTATGCTCCCTTTAAAGACTTTTCAAGGGAACATATCAGAAATAGAAATAAAAACTCCAAAAAATGAAAAGAGTTATATTAGTAAGATATATATTGTGTTCTGGTGCATTTATTTCTGAAAATGTATTCAAAGAGGGGAAAGAATATATTAAAGTTGTAAAATATATGGTTACAATGTTCTATAGTGTAATTATGGCTTCTATTGTTGCCTGATTAGTAACATAATACAAAATGCACCATTGTCTGATCCTGGATGATTGCATTTTGTTTCCTCCATAGTCTGCTCAGGGATGGCTTTTTAATGCAAACAAATTTCAGCAACTTGTGACACCTTTGTTACATCTCCTTTTCAGAAATGACGTCAATAAAACATTTCCTGGATTTGATGCAGCAGGTTGTGTTCATTGAGCGTTCAGACTATTTGAGCTTTAGCTGACTTTTCTTTTCCATTATATAAACTATTTGCGTGACTAACAATATACCAGAAATTTCTCTTGTTCTGAGCCGAGGGATTATCCATGG